AATCATGTACACATGCATGATTTCTTTTTAATGAGGTAAGGATTGGGTTATAGTTCAGCTGGTAGAAAATGAAGACAGAGCAAAAAACAAACAAACAAAAACAACTTCAAAAGGTAAATTCATTGTGGTAATTTTTTTTTGGAACATAGTTTGTAAAAGACTAGAAAGTTTGAGTCTGTATCAGGATAGGACAAATTTATTACTGATGGGGAATAAAGACCAAAACATACCGGAAAAACAAAAGATGAAGCCTGGCAACAGTGGCACACACTTTTTGTCTGTTTGTTTTAATTTTTTGAGACACAGTTTCTCTGTGTAGCCTTCGCTGTTCTGGACGCACTCTGTAGACCAGGCTGGACTCAAACTCAGAGATCAGCCTGCCTACAGAGTGCTGAGATGAAAGGTGTGCGCCACCACACCTGGTTTACCCTTCTTTCTTTCTTTCTCTCCGTCTGTCTGTCTGTCTTAGATACACACCGGTTTGCCACTTTCCAGCAAAGAAACATGTGGGACATAAATATAACTCCTATTGCTGCCACAGTCAGAACTCAAAGCTCTGGACAGAGTGGAAACCTTCATCCCTAAACCTGCTGGCGTCCCCCCCCCCCCCGGAGAGGAGAGTGCTGGGTACCCATCCTACCCCTGGCTCTGTGTGACAAGCGCTCTTCCACTAAGCTCTAGCACCAGCCCCCCTGCCCGGTTTTCAAATCTGAGTATTAAAAGTAGAATATCCCAGGGCCGGGGATAGGGCTCTGCGGCTAATGGCACTTGCCAGGTCAGCCTGGTAACGTCACCCACCCCCAGAACACAAAGGTGGAAGAGGAGAACCAATTCCACACAGCGGTCCTCTGACTGACATACACGCCACAGCACAAGCTTCTCTCTCTCACATACACACATAACCATGCAGATACACAACAATAATAAAGAGTAATTTTTAAAATACTCTAACAATGAGAAGAAAATTCTGGATTCAATTCAAAGAGGATTTATTTTGGGGTTACCTCCCATGCTATTAGGGCTATTGCCATATAGGCAAAAAAACATCTTCATAATCCACCCCAAGCACAATGTTATCTTCAACTAACTATCCCCTGAAAAACAGAAAGGTTATTTACTGAGTAGAATGCACGCAGACAGTCTAAAAGCCACGTAGGCCCATGCCTGGCTCCACTCTCTGATAACCTAGACGGCTCCGCAGAATCTCTCTGCATGCTAAGCCAGAACTCTTAACTTAGTTAAGACTCACTTAGGCATTAACACGCCTATCAGCAGTATTTTTCTCTAACATCTTTAAGTTCTTTAGAGTCCAACCCCTTTGGGTTTTAAGACAAGGCCTTACTCTATAGCCCGAACTGGCCTTTTATCTACAGCCATCCTCTCGGCCTCCCAGGTTCTGGGACTATAAGCATGAACTGCCAGGCCCGGCTTCTACTTAACATTTTCCAGTATCCTGTCATACATAATGCCAGTAAACACTTACTGGGGCTGGAGGTGTAGACACGCCATTCAGTGGTAGAGCATCTGCCTAGCACACAAGAAGCTCCAGAGTCAGTCCACCCCAAGGGTGGGGACTGGGGGTGCTGTCCCTAACTTTAGCCTGTCAGGCTCTTCAGGCTCAAGGATTTGGGCATGAGAACAGGAGTAAGCTCAAAACACTGTCTTCCTCAAAGTTGGGCAAAAAGCAACGGTTCTACACTGAATCAGCAGATGAATAACAAATAGAAGAAAAGGACTGGCAAAGCATTCAGTGAAGAGTTCTGCCTCAATTTCCTTGCAGAGCAGCCCTTACAATCTACCAGTGGACTTCATTTTGACATGGAACGCCCCATCGGCTCTAATCCGGGGCATATCCCTCAAGAGGCAGTCAGTCAATCAATCGGAACTCCGCCAGCTTCTGCTTGGGAGCTGTATGGAGAACAGTTAACAAGAGCTTACTTTGAGAAAGAGATCAACAATCACACTCTTAAAGAAAAGAAGTTATTTGGCAAAGGGATGCATGTTGCCAAAACGTTAGTCACAGCTTCAAGGTCCCAGTTTGTGTCTCCGTAACTATTCTTTGCTGTGACAGAGTCCATTCTCTGCCTCAAGAAATCCAGCTCAACTTCTGTCACCCTTCCCATTTAAAGCAGTCAGGAAATCTTTCATTTCGATGGTATCACACTGTGACACGGAAAGATGCCCACCAGAGGAAAGGGAGCAGGGGAGGGAGTTATGTGCCGCTTTCCACTTCGGAGTAGTTGAAGCAGAGCAATGGGAAAATGTGACAGGACGGAAAAAACTGAAAAATCATTGGGATAAAGAAAGAGGCCTTTACAACAGTTCTGAGTCTCTATAAGTTATAGAAAAACCCTCTTAAAAATAAGACAAGAAGCCGGGTGTGGTGGCACATGCCTTTAATCTCAGCATTCGGGAGCAGTCACATCTCTGAGCTCTACAGAGGGAGTTGCAGGATGGCCAGGCATACACAGAAAAACCTTGTCTCAAAAAACTAACCAACCAACCAAACAAACAAACCCAGTAGCACAATATTACACAAGTGTTTACTTCCAAATAAATGCATTTACTTCGCTGCCTGCAGCTCTTCCTGAGTTGGTACGAAGACTAGGGTTTGCTAGAAAAGCCTAAGCTAACAGCCCAGGTACTTCAGAATTACTTGAGGTCAAGAGAAAAACATAACTCAAGTATGCCAGGGAGCAGATCAGGAGGCTGCAGTCAAGCAAGAACACATGATGGTATTCTCTTCAGCAGAACAGGACTCCTTTTCTTAAAGTCTACAGCAAAACTTACAGGGCATCAGATCCCATTATAGATGGTTATGAGCCACCGTTGTTGCTGGGAATTGAAACTCAGGACCTCTGGAAGAGCAGACAGTGCTCTTAACCACTGAGCCATCTTTCCAGGCCCCATAGCAAAACTTAAAAGCTATTCTATTCCTTCCCCTCCCCATCTCACCTCTGTGTCCACATAACTAATCAGCCCCAACTAGTGTAAACACCATTTCTGTTATTGAGAGAGAAACAGAGAGAGATTTAAAACTGCCCAGTCTTAGGCAAACCCACGTCAGAGCTCAGAAATGCCGAGACTTTCAGAAACACTTCTAGGCTAACTAAACAAGTTCACTTATATGCCCAATGTTGAGCGTTATACCAAAGAAAAAGCCAGAAGAGAGCTTCAAAGGATTGACAAGAAAGCATCTAATCCTGTCTAGAGCATGGTACCTACCATGGATGGCAAGGCCACAGGGACTGAACCAAAGCATGTGGCTCAACTCTCTCCAATACTCGGGGAGTTAGAAAATAAAACAGTGTCCTCTCCAAGTCACTAAGAGCTGAGCTTGTTCATTTCCGACTCTAATGCCCATATCTTCCTCTTAGTAACACAATAACATAAAAAGTTTGACTATTAAAAATAGTAAAGATAGCCAGGCGAGGCAGAGGCAGGCAGATATTTGTGAGTTCAAGGCTAGCCTGATCTACAGGACCAGAATAGCCAGTGCTCTGTTGCACAGGCCCTGTTGTGAAAAACCAAAAAAAAAAAAAAAAAAATCAAGATAGCCAGGCTGTGGTGCACATGCCTTTTATCCCATCACTCCAGAGGCAGAGGCAGTAGATCTCTGAGTTCAAGGCTGGCCTGGTCTATGGAGTTCCAGGCCAGCCAGGGCTACACTTAGACACCATGTCTCGAAAAAGCAAATAAATAAATATAGCCAATAGCTCAATCTTGTTTTTCTTTACAACCACTTCAAAGATCTAATTGCTTTAACACAATCTTAATTGGTTAACAGAAAGGTCAGACCTATTACAAAGGAGGAAGAGAGAGTTTAATGATCAGTCACAAAGTCACACGTAAATCTATTCATAAGCTTGAGTACTTTTTACTCCCTAAAGTTCTCTTCTGGTTCATCAAAAAAGAAAGGAGTAGCCAAAAAACATGCAGCAAGCCATACAGAAGACAGAATTCTAGAGCAAAGTAATAGCACGGGGGGGGGGGGGGGAATGGGTCCAGAAGAGAGCAACCTAGTACTATTCAAATAGACTCAGGCCGGTGCCCACCTTTCATCCCAGCACACATCCCAGACAGGCAGAGGCAAGCGCATCTCTGTGAGTTCGAGGCCAGCCTGGTCTACAGAGCCTGTTCCAGGGCAGTGAAAGCTACACAGAGAAACTGTCTCAAAAAAAAAAAAAAACAGAAGGAAAAAATGAATTTCGGGGATGGGGGTGTAGCTTAGAGTAACAGTCCTTGCCCAGCACGCAGGTGGACCAGGATTCAACCCCCAGAAAGCAAGCGGAGGGAGGGAGGACGTTAGATTCCAGTCACAGCAGCTTCCTCCAGCTCCTCGTTCCAATATCATCCTTCCAGGATATGCCTTCCCAATCACCCCTCATCAGCCACTCAACCGCACACACAGCCTTCGTTCAGCGCCTTCACATTCCCACCTTCCCTCATTTCACGCCGCTCCGAACAGGGACCTTCAACTCCAGGTGCTTCCCAGCGCACCTCGGACCCCTCTCCGACCCCCTCTCACCCAACACTCTCCAGGTTTCCCCCCCAGCGTAGACGGCTTCCCTCTCAACCATCCCTTCCCACCCGGATCGGTTCCGAAATGTCACCCCGGACTCCTCCAGCCGCGGCATCCTGCTAATCATTACCTTTCCCCAACAGGTCCTCCCTTCCCCATCTCCCCCTCTGCGCGCCGCTCCCCTCCTTCCTCGCCCAGAGTCGCTGTCTTACTCACCTCACCCAGCCCTTCAGGATCTCTAATTTCCTGTCTCCCGAAAGCCTCCCTCCAGCCCATTTGCTCGGTCGGTACCCGCCGCGCACTATCGCCTTGCACTGCGCGGGCCCACGCCCCCCTCCCCGGGGTCTCCAGGCCCCGCCCCCAGGCCCCTCCCCCGGCGTCCCCTCCCCCCGCGCGGCCCCCCGCCCCGGCTCTCCCTCCCACTCGGGTCCGCGGGTCACCTCGGCGGCGGGCTCTGCCGCCTCGGCGTCTTCCCCACCTGGCCGGGGCTGCTCCGAGAGCGAATCCTCCGTCACCTCTGTCCCGCTTTGGTCCTGCCCGTGCGCCCCGCCGCGAGCCCTCTTTCCCCGCCGCCGCCCCTTTCACCAACCCGGAAATGGATCCGCTCCCACCGTCCCCAGCGTCCGCGAACAAAATGGAGGCGGGGGGGAGAAAAGGAGGAGGGAGCCGGGAGCCGAGAGACGCCGCACGCATGCGCCCTGGCAAGCCTGCCCTCCGCCGCCGCACGTGGGGGCGGAGCGACACCATCTTGAGGAGGTCGCGAGACGAGCTCCGCAGTTGAAAGGCGGGGTTGCCTCTTAGACCGCGTTTGGGACCGCCCGCGAGGCTTTTCGGTGGCTGGTGATGCCAGGGCTCGGCCCACGGGATGCTTACTCAGTTGGTCAAATGCAGCCCGAGCGTCTGGACCTTTAAAATCGCGCAGGTAGAGAATCACTGAGCGAACCGATGTTTTCTCAGATGTTCTTTCCGTGTTTATTCCAGGGCACAGGCGCGCGCCACACACACACACACACACACACACACACACACACACACACACACACA